AGTTTCTTCTCCTCTGCTGGTGAACTTCTCTCCCCCCCCCCCCCTCTCTGTCTCGCTAGCAAGTTCGTCGCCGCCAAAACAAATCGTAAAGACGTCGAATCAACCTCCCCTCTTTATATACATCCAACTCTCTCTCTCTCTCTCTTTCTCTCTCGCGAGGGAATCGAAGATGCACCACGCACTCGGACAATAACCTTCCGCGATTTCGATGCACTAATAACGATATTTCTTCTAATCCCTTCCGATCCTTTTTTTTATCCGTCCAATTATTTCTTGAAGACGAGCTTTTTTTTAATCATGTATCGTACCTTTATATCGTTTGGCATTTCTTGCTGGATTATACGATATATCATAGTGTTACACGAACTTCGTTATGAAGAGTTTCGTTGATCTTGTTAAAAAGTTCAGTGGAATTTTCAACCTTTTGGCACAATTAGCGCGCGAATTTATTGTCCAAAGACCTATGAACGTTAAAGAGGCTGCCACTTGCTGGTCGTCTATTATTGTAGATTTTCAAACGCACGAGTTGATAATGGTGTACGTTCGACCGGGCAACACGAGTCATTACGTGTACACTGCTATTACGAAGAAAGGCGTACTTGATTATCATAAACTCGCGCACAGATTAGAATAGATAAGGCGGCAAGAAATTATCTAACTAATAATAAATTCATGTGCGTTACGCCGATATGGATGCTTATAAAAAGTCGATTGCTTTTCTGCTTATCACGATAAAATAGTGATTCAATCGAGCACGTAACAATAATCGAGCAAAAGTCATACTAGCGAAAAAGAAGGAAAAAAAAAGAGCAGATAGCGCGCAACGCATCGTGATATTGTGAGTCAGAGCTCGGCGAATCATCGACCCTCTAATTCATGTTTATGCGACGACACTTATGCATGCGAAAGAGTAGGTGTTATAACTGTAGGAAATTCGCGTCGATTGTGTTGCGCGCCAACTTTTTTCTTTTCGCGCACGATGGAGAGGTCAGAGTCGGCCGCGATAAACCGCCCTGCCCTCTCGCGATAAAAGCCGTTTTAGAATGTCTGCTTTCCGTGCCTCGCGCTCGCAGCTTACTCACTTACTTGGAGAAAGTAAGAGTTATACATAGACTCGGAGACTTCCGATCGATGGCCGCGGCTTTTTTTGTTGTTGCTATCTCAACCGATGGATATTTTTTTGCTGTCTCTGGCGTTGTACGGGTGTGTGTGTGTGTGTGTGTTTTTCCATCGGCGGTGAAAATTTTCTCGCTTGGTAGCACCGCTTAATGAGCTTATCGCCAATGACAGTGTTAACGTGAACGTCGGCTCGAATTGAAAGCGAGGCACTTTAATCGGTCGCGGTCACCGGTAACCATTCGGTCGTCGTGCAGCCGCATCTAGGCGCGCTCGTATCTCGCGCCCGTGCTCGAAATCAACGCGGGCGTACGTTCCATTATCCGAGGAAACGATTTGGGAGTGCACCGAAACGAACGCGTATACGAAGTATATGTGCAACGCTCATCAGCGGGTCACGTGTGAGTATGCTCGCGCGCGCGCTCTCTCGTAATCTCCTGCACGCAATATATCTGTACGCAAGTTGGGCGACGCTGTATCTTATCGACCCTCCAGCCGGATAAACTCACTAAAATTCGACGACGTATGTATTTTTCTCGATGCCCGTTCGTCAACTCTTTTATCAATCGTGGTGCACGTTGCCAACTTTATTTCTGTTTGTGAAATCAATGCCACAGCCTTTCTCGCTCTGTTAGTGCTGGCACCAGCGACAAGGTGACACTTAATCACGAACTGGTGCTACTCCAACAGGACACAATGTTTATCGCGAGTGATCGGTCTCCGTGATTTTAATTGAATAATCCCATGACAATTCTTACCGCAGATTGTTTTTCCCAGATCTCTTATAATACGCCCGATGCTTCAGGAATCTATTCTGCACCTTATCGTCCTCGTTGTCATCGTTATTTGCCTCGGGTCGGGATCCTGTTTTGTTTTTCTATCGCGATATGGACTTGACGGATTAGCAGTTGGAATGAAATTGCCAAGGAAGTGGCCTAGGCGGTTTGAACCTGCGTTCGGTGGAACGTCATCGATCATAAGCCACGCACATGCACATACGCACACCATTAATATTCTTTTCAGCCAGGACATCTACCTTAATCGCTTGGCGCGCCTGTCTTTCGCAACGCGGCCGAGAGTATTTTTCGATCGAGCGGTTTTTTGATCGGTTGAACGCGCGACTTCGCGACCGGCAATTCCGTTTCGTGGATGTTTTCCGTCGATAGTAGAGACGAGCGGCAGCGCGCGCGCGAGAACTCTGCCGATATGTCGCCAGGGCGTTCTCGAATGAACCGAAGCTCCACGTGGTTGCACTGGGACCGGGCAGGGTGCGAACGATTCGCGTCGAGAAAGGCGATCGATAGCTCGCGCAAGCTGGAACGAAAGAATGAAAGCTCGCCACTCAAGGTCCGCACTTTGATTTTCTGCTTGCAGACACTGGCACGCCATATGTGTTGTACAAGGACAACATGGAGCGGCCACAGAGCCAGTGGGGCCCAGGCCCGGGCTTCCTGCAGGACGGCAGCTTGTACGCCCAACAGCAGCAGCAGCAACAGCAGCAGCAACAGCAGCAGCAGCAGCAGCAACAACAGAGCAGCTCGTCGTCGGGCAGTCCGCAGCAGGCCTGCGGGCCCCCGGTCGAGGCGGACAACCCCGGCCACCCGCCGAGCTTAGCCTCGCCGGTACCCTCGCCATACCCCTCGGCACCGCCCGACCAGCCACAGGCGCTCACGCCGCCGGAAGACGACATACAGTCGAGCCAGCAACAGCAGTCTTCCCAGCAACAAAACGCCCAGCAGCAGCAGCAGCAGCAGCAACAGCAGCAGCAGCAGCAAGTTCAGCAGCAGCAGCAGCAACAGCAGCAGCAGCAGCAACAGCAACAGCAACAGCAGCAGGTTCAGAACGGCCAGGCACAGGAGCACTCGCCGCAGCAGCAGATCAACTCGCACGACGTCGAGCGCAACGACTGCTTCCCCGGGTCCGGCGGCGAGCTGCAGCAGTATCCGCAGCACTACTTCAAGGAGGCGCGGCCGCACCCGTCGCCCTCGGTGCCCCCGCACATGCTCGCCCCCGGCGGCTTCTCCGCGCTGCACTACCTCAAGCAGCCAGGCGTGATGCTGACGTCGCTGGGCCAGGGCGACCGGGGGCCGGGCGGCCTGGTGGACGGCCACCAGTACAGCGGCGCCTCGGCCGGGCCCAACATGGCGGGCGGCCTGCCCGACATCGTGCAGCAGAACGGCAAGCCGAGCAAGAGCGCCAACAGCGAGCTGCGGCTGTTCAAGTGCCTGACCTGCGGCAAGGACTTCAAGCAGAAGTCGACGCTGCTGCAGCACGAGCGCATCCACACGGACAGCCGGCCCTATGGCTGCCCCGAGTGCGGCAAGCGCTTCCGCCAGCAGTCCCACCTGACTCAGCATCTGCGCATTCACGCCAACGAGAAGCCGTACGCGTGCGCCTATTGCGAGCGCACCTTCAGGCAGCGCGCCATCCTCAACCAGCATCTGCGCATCCACTCGGGTGAGAAGCCATACCAATGTCCGGAGTGCGGCAAACACTTCCGTCAGAAGGCCATCCTGAATCAGCACGTCCGCACACACCAAGGCGAGCATTTCTCTCTGCCTAACCCAGACGTTGATCACGTTGATCGTGGACACGACGACGCGGCCCACGGCGGGGACGATGGTGGCGACGACGATCGTCGCCGCCCGAGCGCCAAGGCTCGCCTGCTCGATCCGCGATGAGGGCGAGCTTCGCGCGCCTCGATCGTCGCCCTGCTCCATCGCTCTCGCGCCCGAGCCACGCCCGTTGCCGCGCGACCGCATCCACCATCTCTCTCTCTCTCTCTCTCTCTCTCTCTCTCTCTCTCTCTCTCTCTCTCTCTCTCTCTCTCTCTCTCTCTCTCTCTCTCTCTCTCTCTCTCTCTCTCTCTCTCTCTCTCTCTCTCTCTCTCTCTGATCCTCCCGCCAGATATTTGTGCCGGTCGCGCTCTAACCCGATCTTTCACCTGCAGCACCGACGTATCCGACGACAAGTGCAAGCTCCGTTGTGCTCTCTTCGTCCGTGCTGTCGCTGCGCTAATACTCCTAAAGCTAACTATCCTTTTCCAAGTCTAGCACGCTCTTTCTTTACTCTTTTGCGACTACCGCTGCTGGTTCTTCTTTACGAGCATTGCGATACTTGTTTTATTACGTGCGCTTCCAATTTATATTGTAAATATACCTTATACGTACAGATATATTATTTATTACATTACTCCATCATAGATGGCGCGAACGACGCGGAGCCGCTCACCTGATGGCGCTCCGACTCTTTTGCATTTCTTATGGCAAAAAGCAAACAAACGAATCGCTGTGAATACGCTTGTGTATAACCTTGTAGCTATTGTATTTATTTTTATTTCAAACGTTAGTCAAATGCCGTGTCTTTGTACATAAAAAAAAGAAAGAAATATATGACAAGTTTTTAAATAAATTTAACTCTTGATTACTTGGTGTAAGTAATTTTTCTGAATTGCCTCGAAATATTTCTACGTCGGAGAACATGTATTGCAGTGCTGCATCGTGAAACACTAACCCTGGTTGTGTTGCCTGACCTGAGTAACCAATCCTGCTAAAAGGAATACCTCCTTTTTTGATTAACGCTTCATTAAAAACAAAGAACCTGACCATTTTCTCCAACCTCTCGATCGCACTGATTCCTTCTTCAGAGCAACATGTCATTGGCTTAATCAAAGTTCGCAGTAGACGCATACAAAGAGTACATGGCTGAAGTGCAGGAGAGAAAGAGAGCGATTCTCATGGAGGCACGTTACTTTGGCTTTGATCGCCAGTCCCGTTCTCTCTCAGCGTCCTGTTCCGAGCTAAATTCCATACCGATCTGCACCGGCGATCCACTGTTTGAATGCGTTTGCTGCTGTTGTCGGATAGCCACTAACTAACACTCTAACAGTGAAAATGGAGCCGTTGAAAACTGAAGCAACGGGAACATTTGGCCAAAGAAACGAATGCTTGCCTTCAGCTGGTCAAAATTGAAACGGCGCAACGCGAACGTCCGCGAAAATAGAACGAAAGAGAAACTAGATTAAAGATTAACATAGATTAAAGATTAACACGAATGCGATGAGTGAGGCGTGTTGCTAGTACATGTAGAGTAGAGCGATTTTGTTGCAAAGCCGCCAAACATTAATATCGAAAGCGAAAGAGCCGGTTGGGGGCCGCATTAAAACGTTGTGTTGTTGGTTTTGTCATTACAGACGTGAGCCCGCACCTGATCTTCAAGAACGGGATGACGCCGACGCTGTGGCCGCAGGACGTGCCGTTCCCTCCGGAAGAGGGCAAGGAAGAGGTAGCCTCGACCTTCGGCGACACGGACACGCAGTCGGGCGCGTTCAGTCCGGCGCCCGACGGGTCCAACGCCCAGTATCCGACCTACTTCAAGGATCTGAAGGGCGGCAACCACGCGGTGTTCGGCAGCGGCGGCGCCTCGGGCACGTTCGGCGCTCTGCAGTACATCAAGCAGCAGAGCGCGAACGGCGCCAACGGCAAGTGCCTGCCCGACGTGATCCAGCACGGCCGATCGGCGGGCATGCCGCTCTACGTGCGCTGCCCGATTTGCCAGAAAGAGTTCAAGCAGAAGTCGACGCTGCTGCAGCACGGCTGCATACACATCGAGTCGAGGCCGTACCCGTGCCCCGAGTGCGGCAAGCGCTTCCGCCAACAGTCGCACCTCACTCAGCATCTGCGCATCCACACGAACGAAAAGCCCTACGGCTGCGTGTATTGCGGGCGCAACTTCAGGCAGCGCACCATACTCAACCAGCACTTGCGGATACACACAGGTGAGAAGCCCTACAAGTGCCAGCAGTGCGGCAAGGACTTCCGTCAAAAAGCTATTCTCGATCAACATACCAGGACCCACCAGGGCGACCGACCTTTCTGCTGCCCGATGCCCAACTGCCGGCGGCGCTTCGCCACCGAGCCCGAAGTCAAGAAGCACATCGACAACCACATGAATCCCCACGCGGCCAAGGTCAGGCGGAACTCGAGTAGCGATACCAAGCCGCCCGGCGGAGCTGGCGCCGGCGGCGGCGTAACTGGCCTCGGCCCGGTCAGCGTCGCGCGCGGCCTCACGCCCACGGTCGTCAAACCCGAGCTCTACTTCCCGCAGTGCTACGCGCCGGCGTTCAATCACCAACCGGCCGTCTCCTCGGCCCAGTTCCCCAGCGTCGCGCAGTCGAACGTCGTCGCCGTCACCGGCGAGTTCAAGCCGCCCACCGGCCTACCGCCCCAGTGACTAGCCGTCCACCCTGCGGCGTACTAGCAGGCAGGAATCCCGCTGAGATTTCAGCGGTGCCTCAGCAACGCCACCGCGCACCACCTCCAGCAGCACCATAAGCAGCACCACGTCTCCTCCTCGTCGTCCTCCTCCTCGCCCTCGTCGTCCTCGTCGTCGCCGGACGCGCAGCCCGGCCGGTGTGCGCCCCCGCCCCCCCAGCCGCCCCCCTCGTCGCAGCAGCAGCAGCAGCAGCAGCCGCCGCCGCTGCAGCAGCTCTACCCGTGAGCGCGAGCGGAGGACGACGACGACGACGACGACGACGACGACGAGGCGCGCTCTCGCGGGCTGTCCGCGCGTGGGCCGCTCGCCTGTTGATTAGGCGCCCGCTCTCCCGGAGAACCGCGCCGTCGCCGTTCCCCCGATGCCGCCCCCCGCCCGCCGCCGACCCCGCCGCCGACCCCACCGCCGACTCGCGACTCCTCGTTGCTCATCCCCCTCGCGCCGCCGAGTCTGCGTGCCGCTCCGCGTGCAAATTCACGTAAATGAGGTATGAGGTAACGTATATACATACAATGCATATATCAACGAATCAAACTCGTCCGACCCCCCGTGCACGCTCGGCGATACGCCGTGCAGAGTCCGCATCGCTCTTTTGCTTTTCGTTCTTTCTCTTGTCCTTTGGTCTTCTTACGCATCCTCACGATTGTTCAAGCGTCGACACGAGTTCAACTCGAGCGAGTGTGAGCCACACGAGAATCGCTCACATGTTTCTGTACTTCTTCGCATGTATCTATTCTTTCGAATATTCTCGATTCACACTGAGTTTCTCTCGCCAAACGGGTTGAACATGTTCGATTTCCGACTAGACTGAAATCATTGTGATAAATATTTAACTTGCCTATGTTAACAAGAAAAAAAACGATGAAAAAAAATCATAAACGAGAGGAAGTATGACGATGATGAATAAGGGAATAAAGAAAAAGCGTCCGAAATACCGAAATAGGGTAACGAGATACACGCAAATGCTGAGGCGCGGAGTGCGTCCGGTGAGGAGAGGCGTCAGGATGAATAAAAAAGCGTCTGTACATATGTTTAGCGTGTACTTTAATATCGGAGAATGTAATGTTAATCGGGTTAGCGATAACGAGAGACAGACAAAAAAGAGGAACGGAGATAGGATGTCGGCGGGCAGGGAGGTGAGACAGGTGGATCCGAAAGACTGCGCGAACGCGAGGGCTGCTGCAGGGATGGAATTGCGAAAGATAAAAACGAAACTGAAATTACACAGGCATTTTGCACAGAAACACTCCTCACACTTACTCGGTTGATTCCCCGATTCACACGCGATGCGCCGAGAAGCCAAGGCTTCGCGTTCTCGATCGCCGATATACGAAAATGAAATGAATACAAATAGTTTCTTATTATGTGCGTGAAGCGTGAGCGAAATACGGGGCTCCTTTTGGGAATAGATATCCTGTTACGCAATTCGAATATATATTTATACATAATAGGAGCAGCAGCCGGTTAGTTTAATTAACACAGTGACGAATTGGATTTTTTTTTGTTTCCTGCGTCGTTAAATAGAGAATCAGATTGGTGCTGAAAAATAAGGTGGAGAGATGAGGATGAGAGTAGATAGGAAGTCTAGCATTGGCGATCGAGGCAGGTAGATAAGTAAAACAGAAAGAAAAATAAAGAAAAACGAAATGACGGAGGGAACGTGGAAGAAGGCTGAGACACCGTAGTGGTATAGGATACTTAGGATAGTCGATAATCAATTGTAGCTCAAGAACATAAAACAACAAAATTATTATTGTCATTATCGTCGCGCTCTCGTTAATTTTACTGTCATCTTCCTTTATTTTTTCATTGATTATCGCCATCATAGTCATTTACTTCATTACCATTATCGTTATCGTCACTTACCATTTACCATAAAGCATTCATCTTCATCCTCATTATTCTCATGTAAATCCTCATCTTTATATACCATTATTACGTCGTTATTATTGTCTTGAACGTGGTTGTCACGGACATTCATTCGTACATTTTCGTGGCAATACTTAACAAATTTTACGTACTAGATGGATAGACTTTTAAATTTCTACATTAAGACGTGTGATCTCTTATTATTGTATATTACACAAAAAATACACTACGATCTATACTTAGTACGAGATACGGATAAATATGAAAAATAAAGTAAATATATATTATATATATATACATAAATATATATATATATATTAATTATTATGTATTAGATATTCTATATAGTCTTTTAATTTGGAGAAACAGAGATTTGAGATAAAAAAAATACGTGGCCATATTTGCTATGGCCTGTTCGTAGTGCCTCGTAATTACTGCTAATTTGTGCAGTGATTTCATCGTATTTTTTAGTTATACGTGCGTGTGTACGTATGTGCATGTGCATTATATAAAAATAAATACATATACGTATACAAAAATCGCATATACAGATTATGAAGAAGAAGACAAAAATGAACACATTAAATGCTTGCAATTAATGATACTCTGATTAAATGCAGGATAACTGTAGAGAAGAATGAAAGATAAAATGCGCTCTGAAGTGTTGTGTTGATAATGCAATTTTTTATAGGAATATAGGTAATTAAACCGTGTCACGCTGAAAGTGTCACGTTAATAAAAAAAATGAATTCGGACGACTCATTAGAATATAAGACTTGAATTCGCGTATACATATATAATTCGTGTACGTGCGTAATATACATGTAGTGTGGAAAAAACATATATATTACGCAACACGCCAAAACGTTAAATTTTATATTGCGCTTTAATATTGTGATTTTTGACTCTCGAGGTCTCTTAAAAATTTTATGTTTATATATTTTTGCTCACTTTTTATCGAAAAATTAATCAACGCGAAATAACGTTAAAAAAAAATTAAACGTACCCGCCAATTGACCAGTGTCTCGATGAAAATTCAATGGACGAATCGATATATTTAATATTTCTGATATCTTGTCCGTAAAAAGTCTATGCATAAGTGGTGATATAAAAACTAGCTTTATTCGAGGATTTCGAACAAGTTAAGAACAATTAGGCTTAGTCGTGATTTAGACGTTAAAGAAAACGGAAACGCATGTGCACGGAAATTGGTGGGACACACGCCCGCGCGAACACACTTTTGGAATAAACAATGAGCAGCTCAAAAAAAAAAAGCAGAAATATTAGTGAATCTCAAGGTCTTAGCGATTTGCTCGATTACAAATACGCGAATAAACAGCAACGAGTGGCCCATTCTCGTTCGCCTCTTTTCTCGTTTGAAGTGTATAATGCAATGTGTAATAGTGGCGTGCGCGCCTTGTGTACAAGCACTTGGTGGTTTTCGCACAGTTCCGGTACCGATGAATATAAGAATGCTTGTGTATACCCGCGCCAAAAAAAAGCCATCGACGTGTAAGGTGAACCTTTCTTTTGTTGTGGAAAAAAAAATACAACCGAAGTATACACAGGCGAATGAAGCAGGTTTCGATGATTTTCTTAAACACTTTGTTTCATTGTTCTTCAAGAAATATACCTGAAACGCAAATTTTGTCATCATTGCACTGATATCGATGTTAATTGGTCTTTTTCACGTTACGCGCTCATCACTGTTTTTTATTATTATTATCATTAATTCCACGATGCAATAGCCAATTTGCGAATGATGGTTCACTCGATAGGGTTGTCTTCGTATCTTTCTCTTTCTGCGCTGGCTCGCCAGTAAAATACAATAACGCAAAGCACACGCAGACACAAAACTGCCAAACCGTTCGTAACAACATTATCTATATTTTATGACATTGCAGCTCTGTTTTTATACATATTACGCAATCACTTGTTTTCCACTTTCACAAACGTTACGGCTGATTAAATGTAATTGCATTTGAAGGGAAGTTAAGTTTGCATGGTTATACATAGACGACATATATTACAATGCTTTCATTTTTTCTCCTTTACTGAAGAAAAGAGAATCGACCGTGTGTGCTCGTTTTCCTTTCTTTTTCTTTTTTTGAAATATACATTGTCGACTCCGGTTTATTCAGATCTGCTGGTTGATGTAGTGATAAAGGCGTGCAATACTTGTAATCGTTCTTGTTTCTTTTCTTTTCATGTTTTTCCGATATTACCTATAGAGAAGCAATTATCGAACACTAGCAAACGGGAAAATTGCGAATTTACAAGAGAAGAAAGAATATCTCGTTTTTCTATTTTCTTAATCGCAAGAATCATTCTCCTCACCTCATTCGCCCGCACAATGCATACAGCTAAGCCAGTGCGCGCCGAAATCCGCGAAGCATTTAAAAAGATTCCTTTTTCTTTCCAAATAGGATTCGTACTTAAACTCTTTGCATTTATTACATTTTTAAGCGGTAAACGTGTAAAATTAGCCGATGCATGTTGCAAGATTGTTCGGACGACATGTGGTGCACGCGCACGCACACATACACACATACACTCAAACTCACAAAACACACTGATGGACACGAACAAACGAACGCGTAAGCTTGGGATCATTATAATTTGTGTTAACAGGGTGAAAATACTTAAGGTTTTTATTTCCTCCTAAAACTCTGTTTTCTATTGTATATGTTATTACAAAGCGAGCAGTACGACATTTAGAAGAGGAGCAATACGCATAGCTTTTTTTTTTATTATATACAATATCTAAATTGTATTTGAGCGTAAGCTTGTAGGTAGATACAGAAATCAATGTAGATACGGAAAGAATCCTCGTTTTTCTTTTTTTTTTTTTTTGTAATATCTTTTATTCCTCTCCATTGCCATCATTGTAATTATTTTTATCGCCAATATTACTCTTAGTTTATCTTATTACGGCTACTACCGCATTCATTACTATGCTGCTAATATTATAGTTTTATTACGATTCCTGATACTGTAATACCACTTCTTGACTCTCTTTCTCTCACTTTTTTGCGCCATGAAGAAAAGAACAAAGGTGTACACATACGTCACTCGTTGTGCATTCGACGTTGACGAAGAGCACGAAAGTAGTTGTAGAAGACGAAGAAACTAAACAAAAAAACATAAGAGTAATGATCGCGAGCGCGCGTGCGTGTGTACACATTGCGAAACCGAACGCCATTTTGTTTTGTTGAATTGCGTCTTGCGCGTAAATGACTACCATTTTGTTGTTCTACACGCACACCCATACACATACACACGCTCCTCGAAGCGTCTATAAATATATATATATATCTATAGGCATATGGTGGCTGCTTCTCGTAGTCACAGGCTTCATCTCCTTGGTGTGCGTGTGCGTGTGTATGATGTATACGACTATAATGCCATTTTTGTTCTCATTTAAGAAAGGATATGCGACTGTTTTTTTTTCCTTTTTTTTTAATAATTATTATTTTGTACATTCTTTTCTCGTCGAACGCTCGATTGTCGCGTGTTGTTTTTTGTCGATATACCGCAATAGAAGCGAATAGCGAAAAAGACACGTGGAATTCATTGTTTTCTTTTTTTGTGCATGAAAAATCGTTTCACCCTGAAAATCTTTTATTGTTTCTTGTCTATTGTAACACACCGGAATGATCCGCCAACTGCTGCAAAATAATTTTTTCTGAAAAGTCGCACGGAGAAAAAGAGATTTTCAGTTGTCACGAAGACGAGCGATTTTTTATTATTTGACTTGTAACAATTGATCTGCATCGTGCCATAAGCGTCTAGTTTATTGTTAATTTTTGGTCTTTCAGTTGTAAAGAAGACAGCAATCGAGGAGGGACTTGCAACGACTTTCCTCGCTCGTGGAAAGATTTTTTATTTTCTGAAAAAAGAGCGCCAGAAAAATGGTCCCACCACGATCGTTGTCTTCGGATGTTTGTGCGTGCGTACACGTGACTGCGCGACGACGGGCGTCGACAAATTGATGTTTCTTTCGTCCCCGCGCGTCCTGCGAGGTTGCTTGCGAGAAAAGCCGATTTAAGCGAAAAACAATACACACAGAAGTCTTCCTTTCTTGTAAACGTCGAGGCGCGGGGCAAGATAATAAAAAAAGAAATAAAAATAAAATAAAATAAAATAAGGAAAGCCCAGTGCAGCAGCGTTGCGTCGAATCGAACGCAGATACAATAATTGTCGAAAGGAGCGAAGCCACGGCAAATCGATACCACAATCATTGTTTTTTATGCAAATATATAACTGAATGGAGATATACATATACAGATGATATAACAGAAATATACTTATATTGTTGATAAAAGCCAATCTTGTTATGTGTTTGTTGTCGCGCTAGCCCAGAAGCGCGTAAAGGCGTTCGTTCGTATGTACACCCGCGAATGCAAATAAGAAACCACCAACGTTGCTCGCCAAACGCTCAATACAGCCATCGTATAAATATATATTATAAATACATATTATATATACAATCACGAACTTAGCCAGTAAGCTCGCGCATATATTTATATAAATACAGTACACAAGACGAACGGGTGGAATCGGATAATCCCTATTACCTCCTACAATAGACAGATGGGATATTGTTTTTTATTGCTCGTTTTTTATTGAAGTATAATAATAAGACTTATATTTCTTGTGACCTGGTGGTGACGCGGCGGTACATACACAACTCTCGGCTAGGGCGATCAGCAATTTCTTTAATACTCTCACCGCCGCCTTCCTTTGCTTTCTTCTGCGGCTTTCGTCGCGCGCGCTCGCCCGAAATTTCCCAAAGTCCGCCCGGCGCACGCTGCTGCGCGCCAAGCTTTCGTTTTGTTTCGCTTGCCCTCGCGCCTTCGATTCGCTTCTTCTTTTATCTCTCTCTTAACTTTACTCTACGACTTGTCCAATCACGAGAACCGAGTGCAATACGATGGAGCTGCGCATGGAAATCAAATTTCTTTTTATTATTATTATTAATTATTATTATTATTATTATTATTATTAATATTATTATTATTATTATTATTATTATTATTATTATTATTATTATTATTATTATTATTATTATTATTATATTATTGTGTGAGGCGATTAAAGGAGTATGAGAAAAATTGAGAGTGAAATTCGCGTATGATAAGACTTTTTATATGCTTTTTTATTATGTTTAGGAAATAAATTATTATTTTTGTTTTAAATCCAATTGGCTGTTTCTTTTATTTTTTCATTTCGAAATCACACAATCATACGTCCATGTTGAGTGGTAAATATGTATGTATTATTTTTATTATTATCATTAATGATTTATTCTTTTATAAATCGAATGGAGCCGAGAGCTTGTGAGCCAAGTATACGATGCATGTAAAAAAACAATAGAGCCGCACAGCCGACTCTTGCGCACAACTTGCAAAGATCGAGGTCTCTCAAACAAAAGTCACTTGGCAAAATAATTGCTGGCCGCTATTGCTAATCTCGAGAGCACCACTACCCATGTATAGTCAATGGCGTATGGTACCGAAGCAGACAACGGTTTTGAGTGATCGGCTCGAGATACATTATAGACTATGATCTTTCGTACTTTTTTTTCGGAAGTGTCTCGAGGTCCACATGATGGACGTCGGGAACAAAAAGAAGTAGTAGAAGGTCGCGGGACAATGCGCGAGCATCGAGAGGAGAGACTATTTCGAGAAATCGTTCCTATAATAGGTTGCAAACTTTGCGGGAGAGCAAAGAATGAAAATAAAAATGAAAGGAAGCTCGCATCGCATACGTGCGTCTGTGTGTACATGTATAAGTGTATCAAGTATATATATATACGTATACCTATGTATATACACGCACTCACATGTATGCAGAATTGTAATATTAATTCTTCTTTTTTTACGACTGACGAAAGTTGAGTGCGTTGCAACAGAGAAGCTCGCCGACCGTTCAAACAAACAAAATCGCTAAAATTCTAGAATGATGCAATTGCTGCTTATAACTTTTTTTTTGTTCAAAGTGCGCAAGTTTTTCTACCGTGGCATTTGTTTCTTTCTTGTTTTTTTAAATTTCATTTTTTTATATTTTCAATTTTCACTTTTTTATACCAATGAAACAATATATATGAGATGCATTATCAATGTTTTCATTTTGTTTCTGTTTAATTGTAGTTCAATTGTAATTCTGTTTAATTTTTCTATTTTCTTTCCCAACGCCAACAAAACACTTCTTTTATTATTGTTCGATTTTTTTCCGATTTTTACGTCCTCTCTATTTACAGCACGATTTCCTACTGCAAAGTCGTCTATGTTTTTTTATCCTCTCTGTTATAAGTATTAAAGATATCACTTGCATTTCAAGTTGACCTTGTTCATCTTCCTTTCGATGGACAAAAAATAGAAATGGTAAACGTGTATATTGATTTGATAATTATTTATGCTGAACGTCATTTTTGCAGAATATTGTGTATCACATTAATACCAATTCGCTATGTTTCAAGATACGTACGTCATTGGTAAGTTTTTTACAATCACATTTTCAATTCTTTTCATACTAATATTCCCAATCAATGATGAGAAATATAACACATATAAAAATGACTATCACGCCAACAGAAATAAATAGCTTTATCTCGTCTGAAATGACCGCAAAATAATTTGCAATCCTTATTCAATAGTCCTCCGTAACTCAATCCATTCAATCTCACCGTCAATAAAGTTGAAAAAAAAGAAAGCCGAAATCTGCGCAAAGCATAAATCTAAAAAACAGCTTTTAAATACACGCCTAAAAGCTACCGAAAAACATAAGAACGCAGGTTGAATTACCAAGAATGCCCATAAAGTCAAGCGTAAAAGCGCGTAACCGAAAAAGAGCAGGAACCAGGCCGCGAAGGGAAGCATTTTTGCGAAGGAGAAAAAAATTAAGTCACTGGGCTTTTAATTCGTGCGTGCACGCGGTACTCGGCTTCTCTCTCTCTCTCTTTTATTTTTGTTGTGTGTGTAATCTGCTCATAGAAGTCGCGGCTGCAAGAAGCAGCAGCAACGGCAAGCCAAGCCGAAGGATTCTTCGCGTTCGGTGGCTGCCAAAAAACCAGTCGCCGTCGCGAGAAGGGAGCGAGCGAGCGAATCCGGTTAGACCGGTTGCACGAGATGTTAGATTTTCGCGGGATCGCACTTTCGGTTTCGGAATATGCGAGCGAGAGAGAGAGAGAGAGAGAGAGAGAGAGAGAGAGAGAGAGAGAGAGAAGCCTGTGTCCTTGGGACACGTTTTATACATGTGCAGCGTACACACGCGCGCGAGCGCCTCTGTGTGCGCAGACCGGACGGATTGCACTTTGTCTGATTCCCCTGGCGCATACTTTATTGCAAGCGCGTCTCTCTCTCCCTCGGCGTTATAGCAGCGCGCGTGCAAAACTCGCATGGCTCTCTTTCTTTGTTTTGCGATGCTGTGCGCCCGCGTACGTAGGTATGACGGGGTTAATGGATCGGATGTTGCGGGTGTTCGCGATTAAAATCTTGGGTAAACAATCGCCTCTGTCACTTTTTTTCCGTTTGTTTGTTCGATAGCTTGCGAAAAACCAACTATCTGGCTTAATTCATTGCTCTCTTTACCGTCCGTTGCGCAAAACAACACGTGGCACGAGCAATCCAGTTTTCCAAATAAACAATGCCCGCGAAAGCGCAAACGAAAATAACGACTACACGTATTCGCGTCGAGTGCCGCATGGGATGTAATACACCTTGCACGATCGCGGCCTTCGTGCCACGCATAACGGCCAAACAATTCCATAGCGGCATTACTTTAATGCGAAAACATTAAATTTAAATTATATAAATTCGAAATTCGAGGGGAGTTGCCGGTTGTGCGTACATGCGCGCTCACGATCGATCATTTCTTATAACGACAATTATTGTTGTTTCATCCGTGTGTCCGTGCGATTTCAGCTGCGCGCGCGTACATGCATGCGCGCGCTTGTAAAATTCTACGTGAGAGTAAGATCCGCGCGGCCAGACCTCCCCCTTGTTCTCTTATTGCTTCAAGGTGATCCGCAACTCTCTGCGTCCGCGTATATTCACTTTCGTCGATAGACGCTGCCTTTTGTTGCCGCTTCGCATCGCCAAATTCTTCGATTGCGTCGCACGGATAATCGAAAATATTTTTACACTGGATGCGTTACACGCTTTTTTTTATTGAAATTCAGCAGCTGTAAATCAGCTTCGACTTTTACGGGAACGCGAGAGGGAATTTTTATTAGGACACTCAACCTTCATGTTGGAGTTGAAGCCGTAAAAATAAAAATCATTCGATTGTTGGCGGTGAATAATCTTTTCACTTGCTATCTTGTCGTTGCCGACACGATTTTCATTGTTTCAATACCGCCGAGCGTTTTCGTTCGAATCTTCACAGAAAAGTTCAATTTGGGTGATCGTCACCACGTTCCCTGTGAGATACAAGATTAATCAACTCGTTTGCCCGTTGCATTTCAATAGAGTTGAACAAACGTTCGCCCTCAAATTCAAGCAAACCGCATTCCAAAATTGAGAATATAATTAACGTGACGGAGGCTCCACAATAGTATTAACGTAGAGCAATCGTGAAAAGAAAGAGCGTGCGAGAGAGAGAGAGAAAAGCCTCTGTGGGCTTCGCGTCTGCACCGGTGGATTTTATCAGCGCGTCTGCGGATATGCGCTATACCCGCGCTCGCCGGCGCGATCGAAGCTTTTGCTGCATCCGACGATAAATTTCGCCTGTGCGTGGTGCGAGTATACACATACATACACAAGCCGAGAGAGAAGATGACCCGCTTCGCTTCTTTTCCTAGAATTCCTCTTTTTTTTTTTCTTTCTTTCTTTTTTTTTGTCTTTTGCACTGCCTCGTCGTTTATTTTACACGTGGAAAAAAAGAAGAATCCATTATTTATAACCTTTGCATTTTTGATACGCATTAATTGCAGCTGCGTAATAAATATAACGATTTTTAACGATGACGCAGTGCGGAGTTTTGCGAGATAAAGAGAATATATGCATATAAAAAGATACGTAAATAATATTTGGATCAAAGCCGCAATCGCGAGTTTTCGAGTATTTATCGAGAAAAGAATTAACATAAAAAGTAAACACTCCTACAGATTTTTCACGTAAACTACCCGTTCTTCTGCTCGTTTTATAATGAAAGCGTCGATAAACAAAAACTTTTTATAAAAATAAATAAAGACTAATCACGTTACAAGCCCATTACGTGTAGATGTACGAAAAAAAAAATAAATAAATAAAGTAATGAAATTCGAAGATGACCGCGTGTGAGAAATTTGATTATTTAATGGTCCCCGCGCGATAAGGATTGTATCGATGAGAGAAAAAAGCCAGTTAAAGAACGCATATAAATGACACGCCCTCGGTGACAATGACGCACGCACGCTCGATATGTGCTCGATAATAACGATGATAACGACGATCGCGGTTCAATATCGAATATCGAGTCAAAAGAAAAAATTGCCCATTTGACGCTTGACTCGAGCCCTGAATTTTCATCCAGAACTTTCGGATTTTTCAAAACATAAAAAAAAAAAAAAATAATAAAATTAAAGCACGCGTGCGAGCAGAACTAAAAAGAAAAAAAGAGTCTCGGTAAAAAATAATAAGCGCGAGTCCTCTCTTGCGCTTAAATCATCGTTATGGGTTGAGAACCAGCGAGGGAGCTCTGGCGGCGCACCGCCCGGGGAATTTATGCGTCACGAGTGCACAGCGGCGGCTACGATGCGACGGATCTGTGTATATGTATATATAGCTGACATCGGCCGGATCTCTCTCTCCCTCTCTCTCTCTCTCTCGCTCGCTCTCTCTTGCTTTCGATGTCTAATAGTTTGCGGCTTTTTCGTGTCGGCTCCGATTATTCGGCCGAATATTCGCCTTCTCTTCTTTTATTCAGATTGTTGTTGCGGATATTGGTTTTTTCGCTTTGTTTTTTTTTTTAATTCGGTTGTGGCTGTGAATAGTTGTGATGCATCTCACCAAACATTTAAACACGTCATTCAATTATTTGTCGATTGTATTGATGGCAAAAGTGTGCAACAACTAATATTTCTTATCATATAAGAAGAGTAATGGTTAAATTCAATTCGCATGATGAGTAATGATTTTTTTAGGTACTATCGCAAGAATAAACCTT